ACAAGTCCGGCTTATATCTGCATGAGTCCTAATAATCTCAACTTTGCAATCATGTACCTACCGGGGTCACTCAACCCCGTTGTTACCTGCCCCTTAGCTCCCAGCAAGGGGCTCCGATAAGGAATGTCAAAAAAGGGCAGCTTCCCCTGGAGATCTGTCTTCAAGGTCAAGAACATTGTCCCAGGCTCCCACTTTGCGAACGCACGAGAATCTGCATATCTGCGTCTGTATCCTCGCCGAAGCCATTTATCACCTCGAGAACGAAACCCTGAATCTCCCGCCGATAGATCTTCGAGAAGACCCGCCAAGATGTCGACCATGTGGTTATCGGATTCGCAGAGTACGTGATGCGCCCGCGATGATACGAGGGGCAGGGAGCGCGAGACGCGACCGCCACCGCAGGGCCGGCCATATTGCTGAGACGAACGCTGACCTGGCCTACAGAGATTGGAGTTGCGTTCTGCTCCGGCGGTAGGTTTTGACTAGCAAGAGCAGCGCGGCGTCTGCAGATGGTCTGACGAAGCTCACAGGAGGTTTCTTCCTCATCGGAGGCGTGATGCTGTTCTTCGACAGAGCCATGTGAGCAAACCCCCCAACCGCTCATCGCGCACGTGCGACGCTAACTTTGCGTGTGCAGGCTTGCCATGGGAAATGTAGCTATCTACCCTGCCCGCGGCTCCCATGCCTCCCCAACAAGCGACTGACGAATCCAGATCCTCTTCCTCATCGGCCTCACCATCATCATCGGCCCCCACAAGACTCTCCTCTTCTTCGCGCGGAAACAAAAAGCCAAGGGCACGGCGGCGTTCTTTCTGGGCCTGCTGCTGATCTTGTTCCGGTGGCCGCTGATCGGTTTCTGCATTGAGTTGTACGGAATCTTGATCCTGTTCGGGGACTTCCTGGGCACGATCGGCAGCTTCGCGCGGGGCATCCCCGTGATTGGGCCTTATATTGGGATGCTGGTCGACAAGGCGGGTATGGGCAGGCGGAACGCCGAGTTGCCCGTGTAGGACTCTTGTTCCGACCTTTGCGCGAAAAGTTTATAGACCTAGGGGTTTGGCTTCGGTTTTTTTTTATTAAACCTGCAGGAGGAACTGCTTGGCACGGACATTGGGGCGCCTACACACCAGAGCGACCTCTGTATGCAGGAGGCCTTGGCGGCGTTGAGGGAAATCATGGCGTCTGTTCGGCTGCCTGGAAGAGGCACTTGCCTGTAAAAATACAAGAATGTACGATGGGTCATTAGATCGGCACCTTGTACGGCCTATAGCTTGCCTCATGATGGTATTGGAGGGCATTTCAAACAACTAACTACTTCGTCCCCTCAATTCGATGAGTATCACTGACGAAGGCCTGGCCCGCGCACAAGGAGCCTTCCCGGACTTTCGCGCATGGTTTCATTGGGATGGCTAACCGCCTAAGTACAGATCCACCGCCGCGTCACTGGTCGTCCTCTCCTTTGTGTCTAATGGTCGTTGACTCGTCGCAGTATGCGGCACGGAAGCCGCCTGTCCTTCGCCTGTCCTCTCCAACCGCCCTTCATGTCTTGCGCGGCAGGCCGTGGCCTCCGCCGCCTCGCAACCCCCCCGATTCTTCCTCGCTCGCACGCTGAACAGACGCTTTAGTAGCTGAGGCCGATGAGGTAGTCAGCTAGCTTCTGCACCGCCGCGCTCGCGTTGCCAGCGACGGCGGCCTCGCCGTGGTGGCCGATGAGGATGGCCTGGTTCGTCTTGGCAATGGCGATGCCCTCCCTGCCCTACACGCACAGTCCATGTCAGAAAAACCTCTCCTTCTCAATGTGGGTGGACTCATTTGCTCCGGAGGGGAGCGCCTGGGGTGCTGCTGACCTTGCGCGCGTAGATGGTGCCGTCCTCGGCGCGAGCCATGACGTAGCGCTCGCCGGCGACGTAGAGGCCGTCACAAAGGCCTTGTCGGCGGCGCCAGGCTTGGCGGTGACGACGTCAGCGATGGCCTTCATCTCGGTGGGCGAGACGGTGAAGCCGGCGGAAAGTAGCCCAGACGCTGTCGCCAGCGATGCTGACGATGGCAGCCTTGTCAATGTGGCCGGTGCCAACCAGGCTAGGAGAGATCAGCTTCCATGTCTTTGATGAGTTGCCAAGAATTATAATGTGAGAGGTTGGATGATCGTGAACGCGAACGAGAACGAGGTGCAAGAATTTACCTGGTGTCAACGTAAGCTGTGACAGATGACGATTAGCTTCATGGGTTCTCAATGGGCGGAAGAGGAGAGGGGGGGGGAGATAAAATGACGAGCAGACTGCCGAAGGTGGGGGGTTGCTGCGCGCTGTTTCGAAGAGGGGAGAACAGGAGGGGACAGACCTTGCCAGGACATGTTGAAAATATGAGGCGAGGAGATGCAGCGAGTCTAGATGCGACACGATAGGGCGACGCGCTTGGGGGAAAGTAGGGGAGAGAGTTAGGTAGTAGGTCGAGGTTGTTGATGTTTCCTGTTTCTCTACCGAACCGAGCACGACGGGCTGACTGGCGAGGGGCTGCTGTGAGTCGGGTCCTCTCCTCCTGTCGCCTGGGATGGCGGGGGCCACACCAACCCAAACCCAAGGCAAACCCACCCACCGCCAAATTTCAGCATAGGGCAGGCGTAACGAGCAAACTGACTAAAGTCCCGCCCCGGGTTGATCCCGCAGCGGGGAACATGTGGGAACACTGTTTGCTGTTAAGGAGGCACTTTCGCAGGGCCTCCTCATGAGCTCATCTCGTCCGCCGCGCATCGGCTGCAAACGAGTCCTTGGTCGTGCGTGCATCAGACGCTCTGGGCTGGGGAATGCCGCCTGCGTGTAGCTTTGGGACGTCACTCGGGATGCAGTCGAACCTGGTCAGCTTGATCACATCTCATTCGAGAGTCGTTCTGACTGCTGCCCGCAGAGCCGATATTTGCCCATCTCAACAAATGATGATGTTGCATGATTGCCCCGCCAAGACGAGTACCTCTGACAGGTACCCCTCCATTGGTCGGGTTGCTGAGCTGCCGATGGTGCTGACATCACAGAGGAAAGGAGGGATGCCTCGCTGCTTTTAGCGTGGAGCTCAACATAGCTTTAGCAATCAAGTGTCCCCACTAGGATCCAAAAGACAATACATTCACCATGACAATAGAAGTCACAGATTGCATGAATGTTGTTCGTGTTGTTTCATCATGTTATTCCATGAAGTATATGATGCCAGATTAGTAGTGCTCAGATGACAAAGACCAGGGTCGACAATTGGAACCCTCCTTGGCCAGCAAGCTCACCACTCCTTACACGTCCATCCTCTTGCTTCCTTCCCTACTTCCCCCCTCAGCTGAACAAGTCTCAGAACGAATTGAATCTCGTCATGTTGATTGATCATGACACAGCGTTAGCGGGGATTGCGCACGCTCAACCCTTGCCCGCCAGCCCGTGCAACCCCGGCCAAGCGAATTACGATGCTACTACTCTCTCTGTGGCTTCAGTGAACAGAGGTCGAAAAAAACCAAGTGTCTTGTAGTAGTGGTCTCGCGAGCCTCTGGTCTCCAGTATGGGTCGGGGAAAAACTGATCATCTGTACAATGAGGGCAAGGAGTACCGCAGCTCCATGGTAAGAGGGCGCTTCTGTTCATCGGAGTAAAAAGGCGACACCAGGCCCGGCACCTGACCCGACTCACCTCGGCCATCGAACACAGCCTTTTCAGACACACTAACCTACCTACGTGACCCCGCCTCAACCCGAGACCAGAAGATGTTGTCACCTGGACGGCGTCACCCAAAATGACGATCCTTGTCTCGACGTCACCGTACCAGGCCGGTTCGGTTGAAGGTTTTTGTTGTTGTTGTCCCTCGTTCGAGACGCAGGATACGTTTTCAAAGTCAAATATAATGGACCCTTGACCAGCAGCGACGGTTAGGTTGAGCACATGGTGCAAGTCGACCCTCTTCCGTTGAAAATAGCGTGTGGTATGGCGCCGAAATTTACTCCTCGTACGCCCCCATTCTGAAGGGTGTTGTTAAAAGGGGAAAGAATACGAGTTCACGGTCGTGTCCTCTGCAGTTCTCACATGATTCGGCGAATGATTGAGAAGGGGGTTTTTTTTTTCTTTTTTTTTTTTTACCTCCTCGTGCACAGCAGCTTATCTGACTGAGGAAATGATGGCAGCATCTGCATCGGCCAGAAACCAGGCGTCGCGTGGGCGGGCACAACTGGCAGACAGCTGCCAGGCAAAGCGCAGACAAAGCTCAGGCCGCCAAGCCGCTTACAGGGCTTGAGGCGCTGTGGTTGGCCTGGAATAGCCCGTCCCGATGCGCTAAAAAGCTTGTTCTGGACCTCAAGCTCGAGGGCACATGCCCGTCCTTAAACCACCATGGCCAAGCTGTGCGAGCTATCCGCATTCAGGTCGCCCATTGCACTGCCTCCCATCCCATGCCCACCACGGCATCGGCACCCTCCCAACCCAGCCAGAGTTGCAAGCTATCCCGAGTGGTCGAAGGTCGCCCGACGCCCGCACCAACACATTTCCATGACAGCTTTTGCTATGCGCCATATCTTCCCATTGGTCCTGCCTGTGCTCCCTCTGATATGCCCGTCGTGGACCCTGACAGATGACGACCCAAGGACGCTTTCTCCTGGCCGCTACGTGCGAGCATCGATGTACAACGGCCTCGTTACGACACAGCAGATCTACCTCGACGTCTTTGTCCTCGAGACAGTCTCGCACAGTGTCGTAGTCTGGACGCGCTGAGCTAGCCCGCCATCAAGCAATGGCATAGCCTGTGTCAAATCTCCCCGTCACGACCTGGTCGGTATCTGCCACGGCAAATATCCCTTTCTCGTGGGCCTTGGTGCGCCCGCAAGACCCAGGCATGCCCACGTTTCCTGTCCCACATGAAGCCTGGAAAGGGCGTGGCCGGCGCGTGAAGGACCTGGATGCCCATGTTTTCTGTCGGCCTAGATCCACGGCGACCCCCCACCAGCCCTCGAGGCAGGACATTCTTGTGTCAGAAGCGGTTCCAGTATCGCGGGATTTCAAGCCTTGCAGTGCGTATTTGAGCCAGGCTGTGCCCTCTGTCAGGAAAAATTTCAGACTCTTGTTTCTGACCCCTCACCTTCGTGCGCGCTTCGATCGACCTCCCTTCTCTTATTTCTTGTACCTCCCATCTCAAACAGTGTCAATCTTCCCGACATGGCTCCCGCAGAGAAGCAGACCGACGACGAGGACGTCGGGAATGCAAAGAGCGACAAAAGAGCCCATGTAGGGTCTAGCACTGGAATTGCTGGAGGAGTCTTCTACGGAAGAGATCTCGACCGTACCGGTCTCGCGCGTCGTAGCGCGTCTCAGGGCGATAACGTTGAGGTTGATATTGGCGACGATGGCGAGTGGCACCAAAATGATGGCAAGAGGAAGCAAGTCTTCAAGGGCCGCGCCCTCCTATGGTATGTATGCCGACTGCATCATGTTTGTCCTTGATGGCTAACTGGCCTCTAGGTTGGCTTACCAGTCTATCGGCGTCATCTATGGAGATATTGGTACAAGGTAGGATCACGTGTGGTAGTTGCTGGCTTCAGAACGCAGGTTGACCTGGGAACAGCCCTCTCTACGTCTATTCATCCGTCTTCACCTCGCCACCCTCAAAGAAGGACATAACCCAAGTACTCTCTCTGATCATCTGGTCCCTGGCCATCATGGTCACTTTCAAATACGTCTTCATCATCCTCCGTGCCGACAATGAGGGCGAGGGTGGTACCTTTAGCACCTACTCCCTGCTCACCAGATACGTATGCTATCTAATTGCCTCCTTTAATTGGGTTGGACTTGCTCACACCCAATTCATAGATGAATATCTCGAACCGAGACCCTCGCGAAGAAGTCACCGTCCGCATGGAACGAACATTGACACAAGATGTACGCCCCATGAGTCGCAACATCCGCAAGGTCGTTGAGAGCAGCACCATCATTCGAAACTTCCTTAAAGTACTTGGTGCTCTGGGTGTGGCCATGGTCATTGCCGATGGTGTCCTGACGCCGGCTCAATCCGTGCTCGGTGCTATACAAGGCCTCGCCGTGGTCAAGCCAGACATTGATACCTCGACCATTGTGGGAACCACCTGTGGCATTCTTGTCCTTCTTTTCCTCGTACAACCCCTCGGCACCACAAAGCTGGCGTCGGCTTTCGCGCCCATCGTCATCCTGTGGCTCGGCTTCAATGGCGGGTTTGGTATTTACAACCTTGTCAAGTACGATTATACAGTCCTGAAGGCCTTCAACCCATACTTTGCCATCCAATTTTTCAAAGACAACAAAACAGATGGATGGAGGATGCTAGGAGGCGTGCTCCTTTCCTTTACCGGTGTAGAGGCCCTCTTCGCTGATCTCGGAGCCTTCAGCATGCGCGCCATTCAGATCAGCTGGCTCGCCTGGGCCTACCCGTGTCTGCTGTTGGCATACAGTGGTCAAGCTGCGCACATTGCTGAGATGCCTGAGAAGTACTCGAACCCCTTTTTTCAACACGGTGCTCCCGGCATGCTGTACCCCAGCCTGGTGCTCGCAGTCCTCGCAGCTATTGTGGCATCCCAGGCCATCATTACAGCGACGTTCCAGGTAGGTCGCCACATTCACAAGGTACATGTCCCTGATGTAGTGCTAACAATAAGCAGCTCTCAAGCCAGCTCATGAAGCTGTCCTTCTGTCCCCAGATGAAGGTCGTCCACACCTCCCGAAAGTTCCATGGCCAGGTATACGTGCCATTCCTCAACTGGCTGCTTATGCTCGGCACCATCCTCGTTACAGCCGTCTACAATAACACCACGAGGCTGGGTCATGCCTACGGCGTCTGCGTCATCTTTGTCACCTTCTTCGACACCATTATGGTGACTCTCGTCGCCCTTTTCGTTTGGGATCTCCCGCTTTGGCTAGTCGCTGTGCCTGCACTTGTCTTCGCCACGCACGACGGCCTGTATCTGTCCTCGGCCCTGACAAAGGTGCCCCTCGGCGCTTGGTTCACCCTCTTGCTGTCAGGCATCCTCGCCACCGTTTTCCTACTCTGGCGCTTTGGCAAGGAAAGGCAGTGGAGTGCCGAGGCTGAGGACCGCTTCGCGCCTAGCAGACTGCTCGTCCGCAACGGCGAGGGCATCCTGACGCTGACGCCGCAATGGGGCGGCGACGCACTGTCGCCCGTCAGCGGGTTCGTTGTCTTCTTCGACAAGACGGGCATCCTGACGCCGAGCGTCTTCACGCACTTTGTCTCAAAGCTCGGCGCCCTGCCAGAAGTATCTGTCTTCTTCCACCTGCACCCCGTCGAGACGCCTTCCGTGCCCGACGCTGAGCGTTATCATGTTTCGAGGTTCTCGAGCGTGCCCGGGTGCTACCGCCTCATCGTTCGCCACGGCTTCATGGACGAGGTCGTCAGCCCGGATCTCAGTGCTCTCATTTATGAACAGGTACGCAAGTTTGTCGCTCGCCAGGCGCCTGCGTCGGGAGACCACCCGGGTGCAGAGATTCCGGCTGGCCCTGTCCAGACCACGGCGTCAGAGCTCGCCTTGCTGAAGAGCGCGTACCAGCGCAAGGTGCTGTACGTAGTCGGCGAGGGGCAGATGCGGATTCTAAAGAGCCACAATGTCTTCCGCAGGGTCATGTTGTGGACGTTCTTGTGGATCAGGTCCAACACACGCGCCAAGGTTGCGAGCTTGAGATTGGCGATGGACAAGGTCGTCGAAGTTGGATTTGTGAAGGATATCTGATGTGTAAGGTTTCATGATAGCAATAGCTGAGTATGAAACCCTTTTTTTTTTCTTTTTTTGCGTGTCTTGTCATGTGTTCTAGAATGCTTGGCTTCCAGCGGTGTAGTCGCACGTGCGAAGCGTACCTCTCCCCTTTGCTGCGATGGTGATCTGGCGGTCAGGCCGAGAAGCCCATCAGGAGTGGCTGATTCAGCCATGCCCAGCCGCTTCTTTGGCTTCTGTCACAGGAGAACGAATAGAGGAAGGGTATCCTAACCGGGCATTTCAACAGGTCGGCATCCAGTCACTTATTATGAGAGCCTACTGCGAAGAGTGCTCGCTCCAGGGCATCCCCCTGTCTCCTTGGGGCGGAACGGCAGTTCAGGAGGGGTGGCATGTCACACACACGACTCGGCTTAGACACGTGGTTCCGTTGTCGACCACATATCGGGTGCGACAGTACTTGGTTCAGGGGTTCGGCGTTCCGTTCTACCTTGCTTGACTGACAGGCGCTGAACACGACATGCCCGGTGTCTGTCATTCCCCTTGACCCAAGGCTTGGCTGGCACCATCATATAAGATGAAGCTTCCCAATTCACCATCACCCGCACCATGTTCTGCTTCACGTTCCCCTCCTTTTAACTGTTCTTCACGTCGTGTCGAGAGGATGGGGTCTCCAATCAGTTGGTCGGTCGGTCGGTCCCCTGTACCCGAGTCGCCATGCAGAGAAGAATCGAGGCCAGTAAACCGCGCAACCTGAAAGGGGGGGTAGTTCCGCGTCAGTATCCGCAGCGCCGCACGAATGGAAGTCTGGAATCGGAAAAGGAGGTAGCAAGCGGCCCGCTTCTTTAACCCATCAACCACGTACTTGCACAATGGACACCACACCATCTTCTTGGTATTCTCCTGCTGTCTCTGATTCGCAGCTCCTCGGCGACTAGTAGGCCGGTCTGCATTTAGGGGTCGTCCCGGCGCCGATTGATGCCCGTCAGTGGGCACGCGGGAGTCGGTGCTTTCGGACGCTATACGGTTGATGTTTACTACCATCATGTTGATGTTGATAGCGGGATCCTTGAGCTCGATGTGGGTGCTGTTATCGGGGCCGTTGTTCACGGTATCGCAATTATCAGCCCTATTGTTTGCATGGATTGAGCAGACACCTGCGTCGGTGAGTAGCTGCCCGGTTTCCGGCTCGGGGATCATTACAGCGTGCGTAGAGCCCACGGAGGAATCGAGGGGGCGCAGAGAAGACACGATCTTGGCTCCGGGAGGGGGGGGGGATAACGATGCTGGCAGGCAAAGCGACGGTGTACAACGTCAGGCGACAGTCTTCGAGCCGTGCAGGGCGACACCATCACTGAATCAAAACGCACACGCACCAGTCAAAATCGAAATTCGAACACCATCTCCCTCAGGTGATTGAGCCCTCTTGTTGGGGTAGGGTTCGAATCAGAGCTCGCGATTTGGCGAGGGGCTGCATGTTGGAGGCCATGCCAAGTCCACCAGAACGATTGATTGATGTGGTGCGGGCGGGTATTGCAGCCCGACCACGGCAGGATTCGATCGGCCGATTGAACTTGGTCCAAAAGAGCCATGCTCTCCTCGTTTCTTTTTCCTCTGTCCTGTCAGGTATACCGCCTGCCGTCTGAGGGTATTGAGATCGATCTGATAAGCGAAATACTGCCGTCCCGAGCTTCATGTGAGCAACGTCCTGGTAAAAGGGGCTGTCGGATGCCATTATTCAACAAGCGCCCTATCGTGTGTGTCAAACACCATGGGACGACCCGCAAGCTTGCATTCCAATACGTGCTCGTCCACGCGGCTTGGGTCGCACTACACTATGCAACCACCATCATGCACTCTGGGCGTTGGCGCCAACAGCGTAAGGTAGGGAGAGGTTTGAAGCAAAGCGGCACATCGGATAGGTCGTTCTGCCAGGCAGGCGGCGAAAACATGCCTGCAGAGGACAAGGCGAACCGCCGCAGATGCCGACTTTGAGCATACCGCCCCCTCTGAGTCGTCTCACCATGATACCTGCCTCTCCTATCATCTTCCTGCCTCTTCTCACAGGGTCATTGTTGATCTTCAGCAAACGTTTGACTTGGGGGAAAGCCTTTCGTATTGTTCGCTTGTCGAGCTTATTTTCCGGAGGCACATCGTCTCGTGCAAATCATCCTATACGTGACAGCTGTGACCAGAACGGATTTCGGCACGTCCGTTGCCACTCCCACCCGTCCGTGATATTCTGGACCACGAGAGACTGTTCGTCGTTATGGCATTCAGAATGCCACACTGATGATATGTAAGTACTCGTCAGTTGGTTCCCACTGATCTTATCTGAGCCTGTTGCGGTGAGAAACAACGCCTGTTTGACCACACCATCAACGGGACACCTCACCCAACGTCGCGATGACGCCTCGCAACCTTTACCAACGCCTAGGATTCTGATTCGCCATTCTCGACCTATGATCGCCAGTAAGCCTTGCGCGCCCCAGCTCGGCGTTTCTGCCTTATCCATCCATATGAACGAGTTCGTTGTGAGACTGACACCCACAACGCTGGACTGAACTGGTTAGCGCCCTTGCTGCTTTTGCTCCGGCTCGACCAGCGCAAGCAAGCACAGCCACAGCTCAGTAGGAGCGTACTGGAAGGGCGATCGTGCATGTTCTGCAGACCATGTGCGATGGAAACGGTTCTGCCAGACGGCAGCCCTGGTGCCAATCAGGCCGGCTGTTCCATGATCCGTGTCCAAGTGTCGCTGCCATGGTTGAATGCGCTGAAGGTGAGGTGGTTGCCGAGACCTACATTGTATACTGCGGAGCTGTTACGGAGGTATCCTGACTTTGTTGACGACGCTGTGCCCTGACACCACCATACGTTTCGTGTCTCACACATCAGATTTTACATAACATAGGGCAGTGGCATGTCTAGAACGCAGCGAAGAAATAACTCTATTCAAACTATATGAGCAGCTCGTCACTCCAGTTCGATTGTGCCTGCGGTGGTCAGTATTGCGTGCGTCCAAAGACATGCACAAAGAAAAGAGAGAGACCGTCTCACCGGGAGGCTTCGAGGTCGTATCGTAAACAACCCTTGCAATGCCGTCGACTTCGTTGATAATCCGCCTGCTGACGGCCTTGAGGAAGCTCCACGAGAATTCGTACGGCTCAGCGCTCATCATGTCCAAGCTGGTCACAGCTCTCAGCACGCAGATGTACCCGTACACCCTGGAATCTCCCTGCACGCCCACGGCTACAGCACAAACTCCAGTTAGCAAATGTTCCATGGATAGATGTGCTTGATACGGCAGCTTTGTGGGAGTAAAAGGGCAAGACAGAATACACACCCTTGTTCGAATCAAGCGCAGCGTAGGCTTGGGTGATCTGTCGTGTGTTAGCGTCTCGCCTCGAGAACGGCGGGCCGTTGTTACGAACCTCGTTGTAGATGCCGGCCTCTTTGATCATTGTCATGAAGATGAAATCGGCCTTCCTCGTGATCTCGACCTTTTCGGCTGTAATGTCTCCTATGATGCGCACGCCGAGGCCAGGTCCGGGGAACGGATGCCTCATGATGAGATCCTCGTGGATTCCCAGCTGGCGGCCAAAGCTCCTCACCTCGTCCTTGAACCTTTGTGACGAAATGTTAGAAACCGCGATAAGAGGCATCGGTCATGGACTTACAGCTCTCGGAGGGGCTCCAGCAGCTTGAGCTGCGCGTCCTGTTGTGTACATTAGCCTCCATCTCCACGAGCCTCGCATCATGCGACCTACGCCGTTTTGCATCCGTGCGGGGAGTCCGCCGGCGTTGTGGTGAGCTGACAGAGTGTTAGCAATGATTCTAAAGCCCCTTCAGCCCTATCAAGTAGCTTCGGGAACATGGTGGTTATGAGTTTGTGGAGATGGGTGTATATGGAAAGCTCTTGTCCAAAGGACTTATCAAGGAGTGTTTAGACGTACATTTGATTGTAGCTGACGGGCCCTTGAAGCTGAGACTCTCGATAAGATCGGCTGCGCGAAGTTTAGCTACTCTAATCCCATGAATGAGTGAATGGATATCATAACTGACCGTAGAGGGTACCTTGGAGGAACCATTCGACCTTACCAGCAAGAGCCGTGTGCTCTGCTTCCTTCTCAATACTAAGGGCGCGGCATTTTAGCTCTCCATAGGTCTGTGGCCGAGTTTGATGAAATTCTAGCTTACCGGAGTGCCTCAATCTCGAAGAGGTCGATGACTGCCCGAGTCAGTACGAAATACTAGTAGGTTTCCTATAGGATAACCTACAAGTCCCGCCGATAATCTTGCGCTTGGCCTCCGGTTCGAGAACCCCGGCAAGACGGCTAAGGAAGAGCTCGGACCCATCCACAATCGTGAGGTTGATGCCGAGATGCTCCGCCAAAGATTCCTTGACTTGCGGGCATTCGTTCAGACGCATCAGACCTGCAGGGAGAGAATTAGAGAATAATTCTATGCCTGTTGAAATGTTGCCTACCGGTGTCCACAAGAATAGCGTGGAATCGATCGCCGATGGCTTCCTTCATCAGTTTCGCAGCCACGGTACTGTCGACACCGCCGGAAACAGCCCCAATCTACAGGCTGGTAAGCAAGTCAACTCATAGGCTGGACGAGGAACAAACACATACAACTTGGGCAGAATCTCCAACAAGCTTCCGAATCCGGATAATCTCCTTCTCGGTAAAGTTTTCCATCTCCCAGTCTGCGCGTGCGCCACAGACCTTCAGGGCGAAATTGCTAAGAATCTCGGTACCTCGCGCCGTGTGAGAGATCTCGGGATGGAGCTGGATCCCTGTCGTCGATTCTGATTAGCTACTTCTTGATCGGGTTAGCAACCTGGAAGAACAAACCAAAGATTGGCTTCGACTGATGGGCGATGCCAGCGAACTCGGCGCCCTTTGTGCTAGCGATAGTCACGAAGCCCTCAGGAAGACGGACGAGCTTGTCGAAGTGGCTCATGAAGACTAACGAGTAGTGAATGTCAGCCAGAGGCAAGATCGGAATAAAGTCATTTCGGACCAGAGTCAGTTTCGGATTGGGGTAGACATACCATGCAGCGAATCGCCAAGGCCGTCGAACAGTCGGTCGGCATGGTCATTAACCTTGTGGATGGTAAGATCCGTCTCGCCGTACTCTCGGGTAGAGCCGCGAGCGACATTCTGTGCGTCAATACGCCAGGCGAGTTCCTGGCAGCCGTAGCAGATACCCCTTGGTACCGTGTTAGCGGACCATATATCCGTGCCAGGGCTCAGGTAGCAGCAACTCACAGGATAGGAACTCCGAGATCGAAGACGGCAGGATCGACGTCTGGTGTTTATTAGACGATTAGCTGCATACCAGGGAGGCAAATGACTCACGGGGAGCTCCTTCATCGTAAACAGAGGATGGACCTGATAAGTGTTAGAGGGCTGTGCTTTGCACCGAAGCTGGACTTGAAATAAGAAGCCACCGACCTCCGCTGAGAATAATTCCAGCAGGCTTCCAGGTGAGATCTGCAAGCTTGGTGGTGCAGCTGAGCATTTCAGCATAGACTTTAAGCGACCTCAGACGACGCAGGATGAGATGACTGGTCTGAGAGCCGAAATCGAGCACCAAGATGGTCTAGATATTGTACGTCAGGGACGACTGAAGAATACCGGCTTCAGGATACATACGTCGAAGGTGCTATGCGGCGCAGCCGCTTCGATGTTGTCGCCCATTGTGAACGGGTTATTTCATCAATTGGTAGAAAGGTGACCTGGAATTATGCGGGCAAGCTGGGCGGCATGGGTTGACTAACTGCAAGACGATGAGATTTTTTTTGTGCTCAGCCTTATCCCAGGTCTCAACCTTTGACGTGGTGCACATCCCCACAACAGACCCACCAAGAGGATCCACACCAACTCTCGCCACCACTTCGTGCCAGCCACGTCCATCTGGTAGCGACACTTACACTCCATCTTACACTCCATCTTACACTCCATCTTCAAGAATCACCATTGCGAGGGCCTCCGTCGCTTCTCGCCCTCGGCTGCTTCTCTCCACCACTTCTATACATTTCCCACTGCTTCTCACCTGAGGCCGGTTCGCTAACCTCGACGCATGCCGATGTTTCGCCCCCGAGAGACCCTACCAGCGAGAGCCGCTACTGACTAGACCAACCTTCTAGCCGGAATGGGCGCCCAAGGGTTATTCCTACCCCTCTAGAGCTTAAGAGGTTATTACCCCTCTAGAGGCTATTTGTTCATTCTTGGGGGTGAGACGGACACTGAACTAGCACCACGTGAAGGCGCGCGTCTCGGAATAGGACAAATGCTGCACTTAGCAAACAGCATGTAACGATCAAAACAATAGGCCTTTCGTAAGCTGACCGAATGTCAAAAGGTCTTCCCGGCATCACACATCAACGAAGACCTGCAGAGTGCGATGACAGGCCCATCGACCAGACCACCTGCCTCCTGTGCAGCAGATAGCACAGGAAATACACCCCTTCAATTTCTAGCTCCCAAACACCTCAGGTTCCGGAATAATCGGCCAGCGCATCTGCGGTCTCCCCTCATTAGCAGCCAAGAACCCGATGGCTGACCTACTATGCATTCACGATGATTCCGGGTGACTGCCTCTTCACTACCGGGAGAGCTGTCTCTCGACACCTAGTGCACACACCACTACATTGAAGCAAGCCGGCCGTCCAAAACGTTTGGGATTCCAAACGACGGCCGACGAGGTCCTTAACGGTGATATTCGGGCGTCTGTGGCTATGCTGGCTGGTCAAGCCACCAAACCAACTCAGGGCCATTCGCTCCTGGTTCGGGCTAAAAGCAGCGAGGCTTCGGGACGCATCTAGTCTCAACGGAGGGGGGGACGGCAATAATAACTCAGAGGTTCTCGGTGACCCATTGGGAGTAGAAACCCAGGCCCAGCCTGATTCTTCTGCATGCTGGCCAGGCACTGAAAGTCAAGGCCTCGCCTCCTTTGCCCAACCATCTCTGACCACATCCAATATCTTTGATCACGAAGACTGGCACACTTCGAGCCTTTCACTCTGCTAAACAGCCCCCAACTGACACGTGGCGCCTCGTCGCAACCACTACATTGTTCGGCTTGCATGGAGTGTGCACCAGAGGTTGAAGATCTGACCAGAGAGTACCTGTCTCTCAAGGGAGAATCTTGAAGCTATCGTCGGTACCCTCACCGCCAGACCGTGGCAGTATCTTCACGGCCCCCGAAAGAGGCCCAACTGACGGACTGGTTGCCTCGTGGAGGCATCCATCTTGCTGGGAACATGGCAGAAGTCCTTGGAGTCGTTGCGGCCGCGGCTCAACTGGCCAGCGCCTGTCTGGGTCTTCTACAGCTCACGGAAAAGATAAAAAGCAGCAGTTCTACGCTGTTGAGATATCAGAATCAGTTTCAAGAGCTACACGCACTTTCACTCTCCATCTCTCAGAATCCTCTTCTTCAGACAGAGGAAGTCTTTTCACATACGCAATCTTTGTTGATCTTCCTCCAACACATCCCTCTCGAACCTCTTCTTCAAAAGGGCTTGTTGTCGAGAACGTGGGGCTTCATCAGGAAAGACCAGTATCTCTCCGAAACCTCCAACTGCCTTGAACAACGCAAGTCTTCTCTGTCTCTGATCATCAGTGACATACAAGCAAGAGCCATCTACGACATCCGTGCCGACATTAGGGTCTTATCGCACTGCACCACCGATTTGCCTCTCTACCAAGACCCATCCGATAAGCCTTCGCTACCCGACTGTGCTTACAACGACGACACCAAGTCCTTCGCAAGCATGCCGGGCCGATTTTGCAACAAGTCTTCCCGCAGGAACAAATCCCACTCATCGACCATGTCCAACTCTCAACAGCAAGAATCGGTGCAAGGATCCCAAGGATCTCCTTCGGCTCCGAACTTGTCGACAACAGCCTCTCTTGGTGCAACTGGAGCAACTGGTGCAATTGGGGAGCAGACTCATGGCAATGACTGGGGATCCATCGACACCCCCGGCAGTACCGCTCGTTGGACAATGATTCTGGAAGAACGGATAAGGTCTGCAAGCAACTTGACCGCGTATTCTGGAAACACCGTCACCGACGCAAATATGCGGAATGGACATTGTCGGGACTCCAAGGGCTGGGTGCCAGGAGGCAACAACATGTGGTTGAACAACACCGCGATTAACTGTCGCAAGATGATCAACCATTGCGATACCCCTTACCAGGACGTCAATAGCCCAGATGATCACGGTCACGCAGCGGCTGCCGGAAGCAGCAAAGCTGTGACTGGGTACCTCACTTTGTACGCGAACAATCATCTCAAAGGCAGGACCGTCAAGGGTGGTGATGAGGACTTTCCGGAAAGTTGGATGGTGAACGGTTACTGTGAGGACGCCTCACCCATGGATAGCCACGGTAAGGCCAACGAGAATGCGACCCAGCCTGGGAAGCATGAGGACAAGTGAACCAGCGGCGTAGAGGGTTCCAACAGACGAGTCAGTTGGCAGTATTTCTTTGCGCGCGTCACTTTCCGTTTCTGTCTTGAGTTTTCCTTTCCAGTCGTTGGTTTCTCTCTGCCTGAAGAATATGATATGTCCTTGAATCTTTGATAGCAAATAAAAGTTTTGATTCTCGTCTACTTGACTATCTTCGAAGGCTCAGGCATTACATATTTGCTAAAATGACGTGCAAGAATATGTTTGAGAGGATGAACTTGGTCTACAGGTATGAGGCCACTTCTGTACCTCAGCCCCCTGCAGCGAAAACCGGCGGTGGCTCACACCAAGACTTCCTACCTAGTTTGGGTACTCTGGCCTTGAGGGGGCATGTACGTGACGGAGAGAGCGCAGCGAACGCGGCGACCGAGTCCGGGTACGTGCTTCTCCACAGACGTCATACATGGGAGGCAATGTTGAAATTGTTGAAAACCTCTCCGATTTTGTGCTAACTACTTTAAACAATCGGGGTGTGCTGTTGCGGTATTGAATTCTACAGGGGTATTTCAGTAGCTACTATAGGTGGTGAGCCAATCACCAGCAATGCTAGTTTCCTTTCTCATGGCGGCCATAAGCAACAAAATCCTCTGCAACATGCCACTGCCTGCTTACATGGTACATGAACAGACGAATTCGACCTCTGTGGCACATGAATGTCGACAATATTCGAGTACTTTCCAATGATCAGACTTGTCAGTATGTGGGCGGTGTCCCATATTATTGTGAACTGTGTATAGAAAGGTGGGAGCGTGGAAGTAGGCACTGTCCAAGGGAGGAATCTGAAAGCATAACGGATGGCTGCTTTGAAGAAGGCCTCGAGGGTTCGAAATGACTATGCCGCAATTCGGCGATTAGGTCCTGGGTTGACCTATCGTCTGTTTTCGCCACCACCGTCGTTTCTCAAGACCCTACAAAGTACCTAAGTACCAAACTTATAAGCACGGCTATCCGGCACCCTGACCTAGACCGTGCATTAAGCCAGTCAACGACGCAGTACAACGTAAATGACCAACGGCGGTTTTCTTCCCACCAAACCACTCCCCTCTCGAAGCATCTGCGGGGACCGTCTTCAATTCGCCTTCCAGCACAGCATGTCGGCGCCAATTGCACCAACCCCGAAAAACAGACCGGGCACTGCCGGAGCCGCCGGGTACTCCTCCCACCCATCTATGGCATTCTCATGCCAGACATGCGCCCGTCGCAAGGTCAAGTGCGACAAGTCGACACCCCTATGCTCCAGCTGTCGAAAAGGCAGGTTAGAATGCGTCTACGAAGCTCCGGCGCCGCGTGCGCGGAAGCGGAAGCCAGGTGAGGCGGGTGCTGATGACGTTTACGAGAGGCTGGCGCGGTACGAGCGCGTGCTACGCCGACACGGCTTGCTGGAAGCTGCTGGCGCGTCGCCTGCAGCCGAGAAGGACGTGGAGGCGGCCGAGGACCCGATCTTCCCACTCTGGAATCTTCCGTCTGGCAAGCTTGTTGTCGGTCAAGGGAACTCGAGGTATGTCAACAGCCACCTATGGCGCAACCTTGGGGACGACGAGATGGAGCGCATGGGCGATGAGCATGCCGCTCATCATGATGACGATGACGACGCGGCGGACGAAGAAGATGGGGCCGTGGGCATCGTTGAGGGCCCTGCATCTGATCCTTTGACGGGAGCATTCCTGGGCGGACAACATCGCGATCTCCTCAAGCATCACCCAACCCATGCAGAGGCCATGATCTTGTGGGCGATATATGTGGATAATGTCGAGCCTCTACTGAAAGTACTGCACGTTCCTTCAGTGGCCAAGACGATAGACACTCTTTCGAAACAACCGGGACAGGCAAACAAAGCTGACGAATGCCTCGTCTTTGCCATCTACCACTTTGCGATCGTGTCCATGTCGGACGAAGAATGCCTCCAGAAGCTGGGGTCGACCTCACGCGAGGTCCTGCTTCAGCGCTATAACCTAGCAACACGCCAGGCTCTCGTCAACGCATCTTTCCTCAGCACGACAGCCATGACCGTGTTGCAGGCCCTTGTTCTCCATCTCGTCTGCTGTCGGAATGAGTACGATCCCCACACGTTCTGGATCCTGACCGGCGTCGCAACCCGGATTGCCCAGCGAATGGGTTTGCACCGCGATGGGGAGGTGCAGGGCCTCTCGCCGTTTGACGTACAGATGCGACGACGGCTATTCTTCCAGATTCTCCCGCTCGATGGCGCATCCAGCCGTATGGCGGGAGTGGGCGTCTCGATTCCCGACGACTGGGACACTCGGCAGCCACTCAACATTGACGACGAACAGATTTGGTCGACCATGACGGAAGCGCCAGTAGCGCGAGAAGGAGCAACAGAGATGATGTTTTGTCTCGCGCGGTCGTCTCTTGGATCCTTCATCGCGAAGCCAGGGAAGTCAGTGGATGCGTCAAAGCATCTGGATGACCGAGCCCGCGAGTGGGCGATCAAGGAAGCAGAAAAGGAGGTCGAGGAGCGTTACATTCGCTACTGCGATTTCGTGAACCCGCTTCACATGCTGACCATCAGCTCTGTGCGAGCTGGGATCACGGCTATGAGGCTGCGGATTCGCTTACAAAAGGTTAAGAACCAAAACGCAACGCCTTCGGAGCGCGTGGACCTTTTCAGGCTTGCACAGAGAATCCTTGACACAGATGCAGCGGTCCTGGCGCATGCCGGCCTAGACCGATTTCGATGTCACAAGATGGTTTTTCTTGTGGGGGACGTGGGACTCCCTTGTCTACATTTTGATGACACTGTGGCGGAGATGCGAACTACTCTCGGGCCAGGAAAGGGAGGAAGCCTGGGACAAGCTGGAAGAGCTATGCCGCAACCACACCGAGTTGGCCCAACCCGAACGAGCGTTGTATTTGTCATTCGGGCGACTTTTTGTCAAAGCGTGGGATGCTTGCCATGATCCCTTGATCAATTACAAGTCGGAGCCAGTTTTCATCTCGACATTGCGATGCTATTGCGAGGCTGGCTCTTTCGCATGCCTCCAAGAAGCACAAACAGAAGATTGAGAACCCCACATCGACTGGTTCTGGAAACTCTTCCGAGTCTGTAGACTGGCTCGAGACCACTCATGAAGATGATCCTCCACAGTTCTTAATGATTCAACCGTTGGCTGACGCCGATGTCGATAAAGGTTTCGATGAGGCGGACTGGATGCTCTGGGATCAACTCATCCGGGATTACCAGATTCAGAGTTCAACTGGACCAGATGCGAAGGAGGGAGACTTACTTGAAAAAGGCTTGTGATTGGCCAAATTCTCGGGTCTCAGCGACCGAAAACCGCCCTCGCCCGGACCCGAACCAGGCCGGCCCCACCTGTCGACAAGCGGCCGCGTCGGGCTCACGCATATTTCCCAGCGCAAGTGCATATGTTCATGTGGCCATGAGTTCAGCTATAAAAGTAGTCGTCCAGTGCCTGACTGTAAGCCAGACCAGGACCTTCACGACACAAACTCTCCAAACGCTGATTCACTCGAACTTCGCATGCAACACAATGTCTAACCTCCGAGTCCTTATTGTCGGCGCTTCTATTGCCGGACCAACAGCCGCCTACTGGTTCGCCAAGACTGGCGCCACTGTCACCGTTATTGAACGGTTCCCCGAGCTGCGCACCAATGGCCATAATGTCGATATTCGCAATGTCGGGGTCGCTGTCATGCGCAAGATGCCTGGCATGGAAGCCGCAGTACGCGCCAAAAAGATTTCGATGGAAGGCATTTGCTTTGTCCGCGGCGATGGCGAAAAGATCGGTACCATCCAAAGCACAGGAGACCCGGATCAGCAGTCCCTCGTCTCCGAGTACGAGATCTACCGTGGGGATCTCGCCCGTATTCTCTATGACCTGACCAAGGAAGACGACAGAATCACATACGTCTTCGGTGAGCAGGTTACCTCGATTCGGCAATACGAAAGCAACGACGAACATGCCCCCGTTCATGTCGAATTTGCCAACGGGCATCCCGCTGCCGTGTTTGATCTGGTTGTTGCCTGTGATGGCGCAAACTCGAGAACTCGCGCTTTGGGTCTGGGCTGTGGCGTGCGGGACCATGTGCAGTCAACGAACTGCTTTGCCAGTTACTTCTCGATACAAGGTCATCTGAACCAAAGCGAAACGATAGCTCAGTCCTACAGTGCCGTCGGCGGCCGCTTCGTCGGCCTGGGTCCAGGTTCATCAGGAACGACGCGGGGGGCGCTGTTGTCATTTCACCCTCAGGATGGATCCGATGTTGCCACATCCTTTCGAGAAGTTCAGGATCGAGGCGTGGATGCTGTCAAAGAGTTTCTAGCCAAGCACTTTGGCGGTGCTGGATGGCGCTGCGACGAGATTGTGAAGGGCATGCTGGAGGCAGATGACTTCTATGCCTCGGAAATTGTGCAGGTACGCACACCCAGCCTGCATCGGGGCCGCTTCGCACTGGTGGGAGACGCAGGGCACGGCTCAGGGGCGACGGGAGTTGGGACGAGCCTCGCCATGGCGGGTGCGTACGTTCTCGCGGGCGAGATCAGCAGGCACGCAGGCGATCTGCCGAGCGGGTTGCGGGCGTATGAGCAACGGATGCGGCCCATAGTTGAGGACCTGCAGAAAATATCGCCACTAGTCCCGGCGTTTCTGGCACCGCAGACGGCATGGGGCCTGTGGGTGCGGAATCTGGTACTCGCATTCGTATGCTGGTCGGGCACACTGGAGTTTGCGCAGCGTCATCTCGCAGGAGCATTTGCCCATGGTGACAGGCACACTCTCCCGAATTACGAATGGGCGGACTGAGAAGCGTTTGGTAGGTTACATCTCCGGTATCTTAGAATCGTTAGCATTGTCGAAAGAGCTTTGAAGTGTATTCTCATGGATTTTGAAATTCCAAGTGCACGTAGAGGATGCTGTATCTAAGCTTGATATTGAAGACTTTTTCCAAGTTGCGCATTATAAGGTAGGTAATCATATGAGGTCAACCAAGGCGAGGTAGGTACGACAAGGCATGACCAGATGATTCATGGACCTGAGAGGGGAGGCAGGCCCAAGGCAGGCGCGAGGCCGGCGTAGGGAAAGCACATGTTTGCATACACGGTGGCTACCTGAGGGGAGCTACCTAAATACCACCTAGGTAAGATACGGTACCTAGGTAAAGTAGGTAGGCCGGCAAGTACGGTTCTGGGCTCTTGCTGAGTTATGCGTGATTAGACTGGGTAAGGACGGCAGGACGGCAGGACTTGGGCGCAGTGCCATAGGCGCTGCCAAGGCGATATTCTTTGTCTGATTTCGACCTGTAAACCTCCTCAGGGCAGCCACGCAACCCGCAGTCTACGAGCTGAGACATTTCCGACCAGCCAAAAGTCTTCTGCCATGCTTCCATGCTTCCATGCTTCCATGTTGTGCACGACTCGTCGTACAGGCCGATCAGCAGCACTGCCTATCCTGCGGTTACATTTGGTTGATCTACCAGATCTTCCTTCGAAGCAGCTCTTCTGGGTCTCGATCTCCAACTTGCCGGATCGCCCAAATTAGCAGTCCCACGTTGTCTTCGATGGAATGGAACTCTGAACCTTATCACTGGACGGCAAGACAAGAATAGATGAATCACTCGCGCTCGTTTTCTTCTTTCAGCGCATCATCTGACCCAGGCCATCGGCTTCCCTATGCGTCATTCGACAGCTACATCCGATGATTGTCTGAAGCCCCCCGTCGAGACCAAACCGACGCGCCCCAGTTCAGACGCGTCTGTGCCAAGCTGCCATTACTCAATTGCACGACCGGCAGTTCGTCAACCTCCCGTGATGGACAATTCTTCTCAGATCAACAAACTGGGCGCCAGCAGGAGGACGAAGGCTTCGGATGATCGAACTGTCCACCGTGGCATCACATCCGCTGCTCGCGACCTGGACCTGCCGAATATGCTTCAGCGCCATGTCTTGGAATGTCTTAGTATTCGTCGACCAGGCGCTACAGGGCTGGCAGGGTACCTAGTTGATCTGACGTGTTGCAGTTCTGAGACGCCCAAGGTTCCGATCCACGACCCCCTCTGTAATGCTGCACTGATCTTTCTGAAACGCCACCCCATCGTTCGCCTCCGAATGCCGTGCCACGTCTTCCAAATACTCCATCCGCATGAATTGCAGCACCACCAGCTGGCCTTCACCGACAGACGCAGGAGGCGACAGAAACGGAACAATGGCTCGTGATATTTCTCGGCATTGGCGACTGGCGGCCACCTGACGGATCAATGGGTTTGCCGTGGAACATTTCCAAACGGCGCTGGCCAACGTGAAAGGAAGCTCACGTCGCATCCTGTCGGCTGCAGTGCAACTACAACCTCACCCTCACATCTCCCGCTCTTGCCATCTGCTGGCTCATCGGATGAAGCTCCGTCCAATCTCCCCCGGCTACATCCCATGTGCCTGACCCACCAACCTTGCCTACTTGCCGCACAGTCGCTGACGTCGGCGCCTGGAACCGAGTCCAGAACCTGTTCACAGGCGATACAATCATTCCGTGTCCACAGCGACGCCATTATTTGCTGATTGAGCAGCCCGCCCTCTCTCGTCGTTCGATAGATGAGCTTGTATGAGAAGATGGCTGCAGCCTGCAGCCTGACTCCTGACACCCTGCAGCAGATGAACCTAGTGGACCTCTTGCCCATTTCACCTCATTATCACGGCGATCGCTAATAAGCCAGTCCCACGCTCTGTACTGTGAGGTGTGGGTGGACTAGCCGCCTCCTTCAATCTTAATGGCGCAGCCGCCACATGCAACCGCTGGCCGCCCATCTGCCGCCAACCGTGCCTTCTGTCGCCCTTCTGGAATGGTGGAAGACAAGAAGCACTAGAATACACCGCGCGCAGGCCGTTACCCAAGCACCTACCAACGGCGTTTTGCGAACGCGCACGGGAGAAACGAACGAGGGACATACATGGTCTGGCATCGCGTCGCCCCTTCGCCCCGAAAACAAAATTGCCGTTCTCTTCTGACAGCCACAAGACCCTGTCATTCTGACACAATTGCCCTCCACCCGCCCTGCGGAGATTGGCGAGCTCATGATTCCTTTTGGCCAGGGCCCCCTGCACGACGTGACTCTGGGGTCGTTCCCTGATGCTGATCAAAGTCCCAGTCTTCCCACTCCATCAACCTCAAACGAGCGGCACCTCTGGCGAGCTTGCGAGCCAAGCCGGCAAGCAAGCCTTCCCCATCCTTGGTCGTGGAGATCCTCTAGCCACTTGCCACTCTGCCTCGGAGGGGCAATTGGTCGCCAGCGCCGAAATGAAGAAATCAAAAGACTTGTCAGCAAAGAAAAAACAAGGCCTTACGTCGTCGTCAATCCTGGTCCAGCCACAGGACCCTGCCAACTTGGACATTGCCAATCCCCTCTCTATTGATGACAGCTGCCATTTCTCCAGGTCTTGATAGAAATTCCCTCTTCTCTACCTTTCCTCCGCTCGAATGTGATCATTGACCTCGGCGGAGATCGCATCACACCCACACCACACCACCCTGAGGCGCTTGTCGGCTGGCAGGCATCGCGCGACACACTGCTTGATATTAAGGATGTTCAAGTTCGTCAATCGTTCCAGATCTGTGAAGGGGGTGACGGCGCACGGCCGCGAGGGCCCCGTCCGGGATGACCAGCACCTTGTGTCAAGTTTCCAGTCTCCCCGGCACAGAGCCGACTTCAGTCAAAACGAGGAGAGACCCTCGGCACCGATCCCCTCACCAGCTCCATCTTGGGATGCTGGTCGCTCTCACCTCCAACTGCCTTCGCCTCGCCCCTCGCTTTATCCCCGGTCACCTACGATGCCTGATCGGCCAAGCACAAGCTCTGGACCCGGTCCAGCTCCCTCATTCACCTCCGGCAGCAGCATCAAGGACTTTGACAGACGAAAGTCAAAGACAACAGACGACCTGCACGTCTTGACACAGACCTCCAGCCGCGGAACGTACAAGTCATATCATATACCCATCAGGGGGAAACCTCCATCACCAAAGGAGAGCATCCGTGACCCCTCGCCCACGCGGACGATTCCTGTCAGGACTCAGACGCCGGATTCGGTCGACAGCAACAAGGGCATCATCACTATTGGCATGGCAATAGGCAGTCCGACTCATCCGCCTGCACCATCGTATCCTGACTGGCCGCCATCAGCGACAGTCGAACCTGCCACATCTCCCCCGGCAATGGAAACAGACCCAGCGGCGGCGGCGATTCCTCAAAGGTCCAAATCACAAAGATGGAAAATCTTTGGACGGTCCAAGAGCAAGAGGCAGAAGCCTGACACGACACCGACTCTGCCAGACCAACCACAGTCCAGTGGACTGGATCGAAGTAACACCGAGCGCAAGGCGCCTAAGCACACGCCCATCATCGTCAGGTCCATGACTGAGCCTGCTGTAGAGGGACAGGCAAGCTCAAATAACCCGGCAATAGATGCACGAAGCAGGTACGCTGAGATTCCGGTACCCAAACTGGACAAAGCTACGAGTCCGTTCTTGGACGTTGAAATTCCAGATATCAAGATGGAGCGGTACAGTGTCATGTTTGGCAATCTGCTGCAGAACAACCCCTCATCCTCCTCCGCGCTTCTTGCGAGGAGACAAGCGACTCTCGACAAGTTGCGAACCATCAACGATAGGATCATTCAAGAGGAAGAATCCAAGGGCCGCACGCTCGGTCGTAGAGCCACGTCGCCGAACCATCACGCACGATCGCCGTCGCTCTCCCTCTTCCCGCCGCCTCCATCGGGCAACAGCCTTGCACGCTCCAACACCGACGCACCGACTCCTAGTTCGCCTCGTTTCCGAGCAAGCACCATGCCCTCCGGTCTACCAGCGCACCCAAAGGAGAACGTCATATCTCATAAGCAGAGCAGCAACACCAGGCCACAACAGCCTCCTCGGTCAACGTCGCTCAGTCAAACAGCGCAGCATGTCCCTCGCAGGCCCACAGAGAAACGACAGGATCCCGCCCAGCTCGAGGCTCCAGCTCATGGGTTCTACTTTGGCCCAAACAGCTCCAGCCTGATTCTTGATTCCCCAACAGAAGAGGAGTCCGGCTTTCATATCAAGGAACAGCTGCGGCCCGCGATCCAGGAGCCAGCGTGGGAAATGATCACACCCACACCCTTGAGCATCAAGAAGGCCTCGACGCCCGCACAAGACTCGCGCTCGCCATCGCCACGGACAACGCACACCAAGACTCCGTCCAACGACTCGATCGATGACACGGCACTGAATGCTGCTGTCGAAATCTCCATTGCCCGCCAAATCAGCATTTCTCACTCGCAGCGTAAGATGCTTCGTACTGGGACAGGCATCGGTGCCGGCCGCAGGCCTCGCCCAGCGGCCCGTGAGCCCCGTGAAGGTAGTTTGCCCACTGTGGAAGGCAGTGAGAGGCTCGTAGCCACCAAGATGGCAACGCCGACGCTCATCACACCGCCACCCATTCCCTTCGGCGGGTCGCCGCTGGCACAGCATCGCAAGAGCGAACGAATCGTCGTGGAAGGCGTTTGATCGGGGCGTACGGCAAGCATTGGGATATTTTTTCCAAAACTTCATTCTTCAGCAGGGGATGGTTTGGGGCGTCGCATTGGCCATGTATATTTTCATTTGTTCAGACCATGAAGCGACGGTTTTTTCTTTTGGCCGGGGCGGCCGATGAGTCTGCGACTCTTGGGGTTTTGGCATTTCATTTGTCGCATTTCTCTGCCATAGCATTATGATTGGAGAGACCCGATTGGGATGGGAACCAAAATTTGCGACCTTGAAGGAAGCATTGATACCACTGAAGCGAAGGATGGGGTTTGGTGTTTTTTCATTTTCAGCTGGCGGTGACCGGCACTCTAGAGACTGAACCGAATTTCAACACATTTCTTGCCGACAATCATTCGATGCTCCAATTGTGCCTTGCGGGATGTTGCTTTCATTGACGAATGCTTTCACTGTCGCTTGTTAAACCATGAGGAAGACGGTGCAGGGGAAAGAGGCCAAGCCTGTCATACGTCAGGAATATGATAACCAACTCAGGTCAACCATGGGAGAGAGTAGGGGCATTCTCGTCTTGTTGGATACTTGATCACACGGGTGGGTACTGGAACCGAGATTGATTCTGGTGACTCCGAATATACAGTCCTCTGCTCCTGTTTGCAAAAAGAGTTACCGACCACGCTGATCATGCGCGCGAAGAGATCTCTCTCTCGCTCGGTACACTGTTCATCTAGCCCCCGGGTCTCACAACTCGATCTGAAGGCCTTTGACTCGACGTTTCCTGGTACCATGGCGCGTACCGCATCTTCACAAGCGCCATGGAAACCGCTGGCATGAAGTGAAAAAGCGTTGAAATGGTCAAATCATGGCTACCTGGCATGTGAACTGTGTAAAAACGAGCGTCTCTTCCCCTTCCCTCCCGGAACGATGAGTTGCAAACGCTAGACATGGGACCGCGGCCCGCCTCCTCCTCCGCCCTTTCCCCGGATATGTCCGTTCTCGCCGCGACACACCGATGACGGCCCTCGGCGGTCTCTACATCAGCACGCAGCATGAGTTCTGCTTCTTGGCTTGTTCTACCGTTGTTCAATTAGTCGGGTGCCTCACACTTGCGAAAGGTCCAGGAGGGGCAGCCCTCATGAAGAAGCTGTTGGGAGGTAAGGGGCGGGGGGAGGGGGCTGGAACGCACGGTAGAACATCTTGCTCTGGGAGCTTAGACCGTCGCTCTTGGCGACGAGGTCATCAATCTTCTCGCCGCGCTGCAGGACGGACTCGATGGTCTTGTGCAGGACAATCTTGGTCTCGTCGAGCTCCTTCTGGATCTTGAGAATGCTGTCGGCCTGCTGGGGGTCCTGGTACTTGGACAGGTAGTCCTTGAGCTCGGGGAAGGCGAGGGTCGGGTTGCCGGCGGACCAGGTGGAGCGGGGGTGCTTGGCTAGGAATTCGTCGACGCTGTCTTCCCGTCAGGCTTGCTCTTCTTCGCGGCCATGGAATTTGGGGAAGGGGGAGGCCACGTACACCTTGGAGAGGAGCTGGTGGGCTACGAGGCTGGGGTATTGGTGGTCGGAGATGATGCTGTGCGAGAGGCGTCAGGTCGGGTGACATTCAGGGGGTAGGAGACGGGGGCAATGGCACGCACATGCCGCAGATGCCCTCGCTGCGGCCGAGAGCGTGGAACGTGTAGTCCTGCTCTTCGACGGACTGGCGCTGGCCGGGGGCGGTGCGCTCGGCGATCGTCTTGGAGAAAAGGGTCATGAATTCGCCATAGCTGAAAGAGGTGAAAGAGAGGGGCACAATGGTCAGCCGAACAGGCGGTCCCGTTGGTGTTCGGGTCAAGGTCGGGGCGTTCTTTTTTCTTTATGAAATCGGGAGTAAGCCGACCAACTCCTTCTCGCTGACGAGTCGTGGGCCGCCTTTTCTTGGTTGCGGATGACCTGGGGAAAGGGGTGAAGATCAGTCCGGTTGTCGTCGGGGTCGGCGGAGGTCTAAGAGGGGCTGGCGGCAGTGGGATCGAGGGGTCGGACTTACGCCGATGTAGTGAAGCTTCATGGTCTGGAGAGCGATTAGACTGCGTGCGCTGGCGTCGAGGGAAATGGCTTGGGGGTGGGAAGAGACGTAGGACGTACGGCGGCTGTGTGGTGGTTTCGTGGTCTTGGTTGCGATCGAGGAGGGTGTTCGGGGCGTTATCCATCGACCTGCGACCAGGCCGTGGCCGTGACGTTTGGGTCTCTTGGTTTTGCGGCGAGGAGTGCATTGGCACTAATCATGCACTATTTGTGGCTAGTGTCCTCGCCGCTCTTACTTGAGCCAGCCTCCGCTCAAACAGGCGGAGCACTTGAAGATTGAGTTCTTGCGCTCACAACCTTGGGAACCTGTGGACTGTTTTTAAAGTATTCAAGCTTGCGTACGGCCTGCCTGTGTCAACGAAATCGGAAACAATAATTCTTGTGGTCTGCTCATACAGTGCTGACACACAAATCGGCTGGAAAATGCAATCGGCTATGGGGATCCAAGAGAAACTGCAGTAGTTGCTCATGCACCTTCGAATGACGGAATCGGCTGTCAATTCCTCTCTGTCCGGTGTGGTCATTGTATCTTTAGACCTCGAAGTGTCTCGGAGATGCAGGAAGGCTATTATGCTCGACAAGGGATATCAGCCTGTGATCAGGGAACTCGGCATTGCGTCCGTGGACACGAGACAGATCTTTGATCCGCCTGCTGAGTGTATATGCCAGCGTCAACCAAAAGACGGATCAAAACACAGCGATTTTCAACATTGAACGCGTCCAAAGACTTCGAAGACTGTGATGTAACCAATTTCAAAGAGTGTGAATTCGCTGAGACGTAACACGTGGATTCGGAGCAGCTTATTCCCATCGTTGCACGTGCAGTACGCATCCAGGGAGACGATCGCGCAAGAGCGGGAACTGGTGCGAGTACCCTACGCCAAACCATTGTTGTGGGCCATTCAATTGCCGGCGATCTGGCCATCTTGAAGAGACTCGGTTTCAACATGCACAAGGAGAAAACATCGTGACTATATTGGACACATACAGCCTCGGCAAAGCGATCCTCGCAGGTGAACGTGCTGCTGGCAGGTACTCTCTCTCTGGGGTCCTGACAGCACTGAGCTGTCCCTACGAGCCGCGTGAGCTTCACAATGCCGGCAACGATGCGACCCACACGTTGCGAGTTATGCTTATGCTCGCATCATCATGGGCGAAACAGAACGAGGGCTTAACGGAAGCAGTAGCGGCGAATCAAAAGCGACTGCAAGCTTTTGCACTCACAGAAGCCAACAGCTTAGACAGGTGGAAGCCGGTGAGGTGCTCCCTCGGAGCACACGTGGATGGAACTTGATCCGAAGGGGGGAAATAGCCTTCAAGTGAATAACAACTATTCTGTGTTCACAAGGGTAAATCATATTCGAGGCCATCAGTAAGCATTTTTCTGCTGTCTTTTGTACAGGTAGGTAGTGTCGGTAGCTACCAGACCGGACGATGAAGGCGATATAGCATCCCTGGTAGTCGGATTCACCAGTATGGGCCTCGTTTGAGCTCGAGATCAAGTGCCCTACCTAGGAGATGGCCTAATCACCGATGCTTCAGCATTGCTTGCGAAGTTGTCTTGTTTTTTTCAGCCAGAATAACTTCCATCAACCCAACGATTTCCACGGCTCGCCCGTAACCTCTCCTCCCTTGGTCATGATCAGGTCAAGTTGTTCCTAAAGCAGCGAGGGTCTGGAAGTGATCTGGGGGCTTTGGCGGACGCCGACCCACTTTGTCTGCTCATCACATGCCCCTGGCTGTAGCGGTCAGTGCAGGTGGGGTACCGCTGCCATACAGATGCCTGCCAGGCTGCCAGACGTCGACATTCATGTGGCGATTACAGGTGTGGCTAGTGATGAGCTCCGCTATGAGTCCACAACCACAGCACTGCCCTCACCGGTGACTCCAGCAGGCCTGCAGCAGCTGGAAGAGTGACGAGTGATGACACACACAACATACAACACTACACTTGTCGCTCACCAGCATACTTGAGTCGACGTCGCTTCTCACCAAATACTGAGTGCTTGAACACATTTTCTTCAGCAATCTCGCCGTCACAGCACCAACGTGGCATTTTCCAGCACCTTGCCATCGCTTTTCATCAACAGACGGACGGTGCCTCACAATTTCCGTACACCACACTAGACACCATGGCGTCGAACGACATCGACGGCGCTGAAGCCCAATGGCGAGCTCAATTCGAGGCCATGAAGGCTGCTATTTCTAGCCTTAACCTCTCTGCCGACACGAAGCCCACAGAGTTAGATTTTGACGACGATTACGAAGGCTATTCTTCCGGAAATGCCGCTCAGGATGTGTGGGACTTCATTTCTGACGACGATGACGACTACAGCAGCGATCAGCTGGACGGTCCCGACGGTTTCGCCCAGGCAGAAGAGTTCGGCGCCGACTGGTTCGTCGGTAAATGCTCCGAGGTTGCGGCAAAGAATGGCCTTTCCGGTGACGCCTTTCAAAACCAGGTCCTCGGAGTATTGACCCTCGACAGAGGTGAGGACGAGGTTCAGTCCCAGCTCACCGATCTCATTGGTTTCGACGACCTTGATTTCATCATCGAGCTCCTCGCTCACCGCAGCAGTATCGTCACTGCGGTTACGTCCCAGGACACCCAGGAGGGCTCTGGCGGGCGGAGACTCCTGTCCAAGGCAGAGCGGGATGAAGCTCTTCGCAGGAAAGACTACGAACACAAGACGGCTGTACTCGCCCCTCATGTCAACCGGGAGAACGAGTACCCGCACGTGTACAAGGCACACTCTGCGAATAACAGCCTGAGCCACTCGGGCCGCAAGTACGCGTTGCCTGAGGGTAGCAAGAGGGATATCTTCGAAAAGTACGAGGAGTACTCGATTCCTGCCGGAAAGAAGGGCACGCTGGGTCCTGGACGAAAACTCGTCAACATTGCCGACATGGACGGCCTTTGCCGGGCCACCTTCAAGGGCTACAAGTCCCTCAACCGCATGCAGAGTCTCGTGCATCCTGTGGCGTACAAGACGAACGAGAACATGCTCATTTGTGCACCTACTGGTGCTGTAAGTTCAGTTTCGAAGTCTCTACCAATACAGTAAGCTAACCTCTGCGTAGGGTAAAACAGATGCTGCTATGCTCACCTTCCTGCAGACTTTGGGCCATTATGGCCCACTTAACCTTTTGGAAAACCGTCGGTCACTGACTTCGCCGTCAACTCGGCCGACTTCAAGATTGTCTACGTCGCACCCATGAAAGCCCTGGCCGCCGAGATTACCGACAAGCTGGGCAAGCGCCTGGCATGGCTTGGCATCAAGTGCCGCGAATACACCGGTGACATGCACTTGACTAAATCCGAAATTGTACAGACCCAGATCATCGTGACCACCCCTGAGAAATGGGACGTTGTTACGCGTAAGGGCACGGGTGACACTGAGCTGGTGCAGAAGGTGAGGCTTCTCATCATCGATGAGGTCCACATGTTACACGACGAGCGTGGTGCCGTTCTCGAATCCCTTGTCGCCCGAACGGAGCGTCAGGTCGAGAGCACCCAATCTCTCATCCGCATCGTTGGTCTCAGTGCCACGCTGCCCAATTACATCGACGTCGCCGACTTCCTCAAGGTCAACCGCTACATGGGTTTGTTCTATTTCGACGCGTCATTTCGCCCCGTTCCGCTTGAGCAGCACTTCATCGGTGTGAAGGGCAAGGCTGGGTCGAAACAATCCAAGGAGAACCTCGACAACGTAGCCTTCGACAAGGTCAAGGAGATGCTGGAGCAGGGACACCAGATCATGGTGTTCGTACATTCCCGCCGAGATACATACATGTCGGCCAAAATGCTGCACGAGAAGGCGGTTGACCAGTTTTGCCTGGACCTTTTTGACCCTAGTGGCCATCCGAAGTACGAAAACGCCGTTCGCGATATGAAATCGTCCAAGGCAAAGGACCTTCGCGAACTCATCCCCAAAGGTCTGGGTATTCATCATGCCGGTATGGCCCGATCCGACAGGAACTTGATGGAGCGCCTCTTCGGAGAGGGTGTCATCAAGGTTCTTTGTTGTACGGCCACTTTGGCTTGGGGTGTCAACTTGCCAGCCGCAGCTGTCATCATCAAGGGAACGCAGGTGTACAGCGCCCAGGACGGGAAGTTTGTCGACCTAGGAATTCTAGACGTCCTGCAAATCTTTGGTCGTGCTGGTCGACCTCAGTTCGAGGACACTGTATTGGCATGATCTGCACGACGCTCGACCGCCTCCCGCACTACCTTACAGCTGTCACGGAACAACAGCCCATCGAATCCAAGTTTT